AATAAAGAGGCTTACCCCATTCTCTTGCAGCAAACCTTCGAGAGGAGCAGCCAGGGTCACCGTTTGTCCTTCAGGTATAAGCTATTATCTCAACACGAATGTCAGTGTACACCAACGCACCAAAAGATTAAATCATCAAGACTCCCTTCGGGGCCGGGAGGAAAAAACCAGAAATAGAGCTGATGTCCTTAATGTCAGCAAAGGACATGCATGGCTACCGATGTACACACCTGACGAGTCTCATTAGGGCTGTTGCTGATGGGCAGAAGACCTGACCAGCTAGGACCAACGTCGAAGTCAACGAGAGGAAGGGATGTGCCATCGACATAGAATTCTAGACGAAGATAGATCAGACTTATTAGATGTCTACTTGTAGCACTTCATTCACCTGAGGCCTTTGGGTTTGTGAACGTAATATTCTGAACACCACTATGCTTTACGCTCCGACTTTGAGAGCTGCTAGTTTGCCAACGCTTTGCTGCCTCCAGTTGGTGTTCGCCAATCTCGTGCATGGTTATCCTACGAGCGTTGGCGGCGACCACTACGAGCAGAGCTGTAAATACGGCGAGAAGATGCATCACCGTCGAACAAGCGAACTTGAGTTTGTGAGGGGGAAATAGGGAGTCGTCTGGTATCGTACATGGGACGTTTATTTAGAATATCAGTATTTCTTCTGTACTAATGGGAAGGAAAAGTCGAATAATCAAACACGTATGCATACTGAGGGATGATTATGGCGGCCCATCATGATTCTGGCAGTTAATGTCGGGGGCTTGGGGTCAGTGTTCATCCCCGTGAGTCTGGAGTTCTGCCAAGTTTTGCCACCTCCCTTCGCGTGAGAAGTTCTGCCGTAGACAAGGCACAACCAGGTTTGCCAACACCAAAATTCATATTCTTCAAGCAGCCATACGTGATACGTGGCCCATCAGATAAGCAACTTCAATGGCCGATTAATTGTTATCAATACACGTATACCTGATTTCTTTACTCACGGTACTTGCTGGTTCAACCTGGTTGCTGTCACGATTGGCCGTGAAGACTTATCCAGGTTCGCTCCCATTGTTTCCAAGGGCTAGAAATATGTCTGACTCCACTACTGGAATAGCAGTCGAGGTAATGCGCACATCGGAGTGAGGGAAGGTACACAGCGTCTGACAGGATCCGTCAATGAGCAATTCGGCTCCGAGAAGCATCACAGCTGCAGACCGGTAGTCATGCATTCATAAACCACTCGTCGAGGTTCCATAATCACGTTGTATTGTCGTATGACGTGCTTGCTAGGATGCAACCATTCGGAGGTGTTGGAATGGCCAAGACTTGGTCCGTGTGCCCTTCCAGCAGTGCGACCTGTTGCCCTGCATGTTGTAGCATCCATGTTCTAATGAAGCGATCAACTGACCCGGAGACAATGGGGTTTTTCATCCGTACGTGGTCCAATTATGAAACGCACCTGCCATCTCCGGGTCGCCCCACCCATCCGGTGTGCAAGACTTACAACATCACCACGCGTGAATCTTGCAGTCTGCACTCGCATCGCCTGCCCGTGTATATGTGGCTGGTGTGTATCAGAACGAATATTTCCGTTGGTTCCAGATGCGTTGAACTTCGGATGTGGTGGCATTGCTCAGAAAGGGAAGGCTTTGTTTTTTTTGATGCTTTAGCTAACATATCGTAGGGTGGGAATATATGATAAAACATTGAATAGGAGAGTATGGACGCTGGTCACCTAAACAGGTACTTTGAATCATGTTGTGGGTATTTTGATTTTTATACGGCCACATTGATACTCTAAATAAGTAGCCTGAACTTAAGAAGTCACTATAGAGCGATCATTGTTCACAATGAGTGTTATCCCCAGCCGACTGTTCAATCGCTTGCACACCTGAATATAAATTTACTACCTTGCGCATGAACCAGCGAATACAACCACAACTCTATTTTGAACCTCACTTACAGGACAGCGTCTGCGATTGATTGAACAGCTCTATCCTTTGTGAGAGTGAAGATCCTGGCAGGTCAGAGCGCTAAGTACTTACTTGGAGTTTGAAATGCAATTGGAAAATTTGAACAGCGGAGCGGTGCAGACTAAGATCAGGAGCCAGCTATACGAGTTCTAAAATGGAATTCAGCGTTGCATACGGAAGTCAGAAAAAGATCAACATACCGTTAGGATCTTTAAACAACCGAAGTCGAGGCAAGAATCAGTGATAAAGCTAGCATGTACAAAACTTCAGCAGGAAGAACCACAGTCACATTACGCAGCTGATGGGCAAAGGAATGTTCAGAGCGCGCAGGATCGGGAGGACGCGGAACTCAGTCAATTGGAAATGAAGTCTCTAAAACAAAGTTCAAATGGTAAATGACCGGCAGAAGCCATGTGAGTAGCTGAAGATCACTGCATCCGTATACATAGTGTTAGGACATATTCGCTATGACAGCGTGAATGGGATTGAGCAAATGATCATATGAAATTAGTGGATCTCGTGGAAGAATGGAATCTCTTATAATTAAAATACTGGCGCTGCCTCGTGGATCCCATGCTTGCGGTGCATGCAAGACTCACCTTCGTTGTTGGCTGGCTACCATTGAAGAACCAGCAGAACAACCAGTAAGTACTGTGCAACTGTTCCCGTAATTTTCAATCACGAACAGTGTCAGAGCCAGAATAAACCATACAGGCAGCTTACGGTAACGAACTATGCCTCCACTTGCGATTCAGATGCCAACCATTGAGGAAAATACGTCTTCTGTGTCTGAACCCCCTGCAATGCCGGTCACCGAGGAAACTCAACCCACCGCGCAACCCGAGAAACCAACTCCAAAGTACCAATTCAAGGGCCACGAAAATCAAATTTTGGATTTCGTCTTCTTGCGCGACAACGTCCACATCGTGAGTGGATCGTTGGACGGCAGGATGCGCAAGTGGAACTGTGACACAGGGCTTCTCGTTGGGAAACCTTGGTCAGGCGAGGGCGGAATTATACATGCACTGGCTCTTTCACCGGATGGGAAGACAATTGCATGCGGGAGGGACGACGGAAGCGTTCAGCGGTGGAACACCGAAGGAGAGATGATTGAAGGCATTTGGACAGGTCATAAGGAGTTGATACGGTCACTGTCGTGGTCTCCTGATGGAAACCATATTGCAAGCGGATCCGACGATGGAACAATCCTGATTCGAAAAGTACTTGAAAGCGGAGAAATCGAGGTAGGTCCGATCGAAACGAAGCAGGATGGTGTGCTTGCACTTGCATATTCACCTTCAGGCGACAAAATCGCATCAGGCGGGAAGAATCAGACAATTTGTATTTGGGACTCGAAGACAGGCGAGCTCGTCATCGAGCCCATCGGAGACCTTGGGCACTATGTGTGGTCTGTGGTGTGGTCCTTGGACGGCACCAAGTTGTATGCCGCCTTGGGACATTTCGCACGCGCTTTCGACAGTAGTTCAGGCACAGAACTTTGTAGCTTCGAGCACACTCATCCGCTGATTTCTGTTGCGCTTTCACCCAAACACAACGTGCTAGCATGCGTGGGCATAGGAAGTATTGCACGACTATGGGATACAAAGTCCCGTCAGCCACTCGGTCAGCCATTTAATCAAGAGGACGGAATCGCTTTGTGCGTGGCATTCTCTCCGGATGGCAAATATGTAGCATATGGAGGAACGAACAACACAGTCACTTTGTGGGTGGTAAAAGAGATAGCTCCAGAGATTACAGTACGTGCTTTTACAACCATACTTCTAAGTGACAAGCTACACAGTAGGAAACTCGTCTCTAGTCGCCACCGCCGTCTTGCCTGGAAGTCAGTACTCTTGCATTCGACTACCTTCATTCTCTTGCTCATAGAAATATCACAGGTCGACGCTACGAATCCTTTGGCACAATCGGAGAGTGATGGTCATGGCGATTTTTTTCAGGTAAGTCTCGTGTTTCGTCAAGCAGACGGTACAAGTATTGATGATGAGCATTCGAAGTCTTATCCTCCTTCGGCACCACCTGGCCCATCTCATCGTTCCCAGAATACTCAATCATCCTCCGCTCGCCGCTTTTGGAACATCCTCATCCCCTTTCGACATGGTCCGACAGCAAGTGAGTCCATTGCGCTGCAGCAACATCCCAGACGCAGTTTCTTTGGGGGCCGCTCGGGATCACGGCCTGTAACAGTCTCCGCTGCACATAAAATCAAGGTAAGCAGTGTACTAGTTGTCCCTCGGTTTGTTGCACTTATATGTAACTGATTTTTCAGAGGCGCTGGATAGCGCGTCCCCCTGTGGAGACTAATGCTCAGGCTGGTCTATCGTCCTCAACGATAACACACGCTGCAGCGCAGCCAAACTCGATGCCTCAGCTTCCTGAGGCACAGTCGACAACACAGCAACTTGCTCATAGTTGTTGGGGAAATTTTTGCCTTGCACTCGGGTGCATTCCACGCCGCCCTCTTCCTGTTGTCTCCGCTGCTCAGCCTTCTACCTCGTAACATCACATTACCAAGTGTGTTTCATTTTTTCCTACATATCAGTCTCGTTAATATTCATTTGTTTTGGTTTTTAATCACCTTTCATTCTCTACATACCTCAGATTTCTTACTATCGCTCGCATGCTGCATGCGTGTCTGGCTGATGATCAATGGTATATGCTCTACTGGTACATTCTGAAATACTTATTATTATAAATGATTTGACAAGGACTTGTAAATTCATATTTACAGTGGTGGTCCCCATTGCATCATTGCCTGAACCTATTAGAAATTCACGCAGCGCGCATGGTGACTAGGCTCGTGACCAGCCTGGCCTAATACTACCACGGTTGCACGAGTGGTGTAGCCAGGCTGGTCGATCTCGGAGTGGCGTGGCAGGGCGGAGCGAGGAGTTTGAAATTTGATAGGTGCCGGTCGTGCCGGAGGTAGTTACGATCATATGGCACAAGTTATACGTCTGCTCTCGCTCAGACTGTACTATGCTATGTTAAGTTTCAACCATGAGTTCTGTACGACCTTTATCGCTCACTGCTCGAGATACAATTGAGAATCTCCCAACGGACTTTACGAGGTCCCTCTCAACGACACAACACCAGCAAGTTCTCGAGGCTTTCTCGCGACTCGATCTTCTTTCCCAAGGATCACAACGTCCGATTCGCGAAATTGTTCCAGCTCAGATGCCTCATATCATTACTTTCTGCGAAACACGTTGTACTTCGAGCTGCGACAGGCTCTGGAAAGACCCTTGCTATGATTCTCCCTCTACTCCTTTCTCCCAACAAGACAGCTATCACTGTCAGTCACCTTTGAACTTATTGCTGCAGCGAGATCACGTACGCTAAAAACATTAAATTTGTCCTTGTAAATAATGGGTTCAGGAGTTCGAGCAGTTTATCCTAATCAATTATTAGTGCTCCAGCGTGATGTACTGTTGTATTTGAGAGGATACTGTACTTACTTTTCACGGTACGAACGAAAGAGTTTGCGGTAATGTTACCCCAAAGCGGCATACCGGCATCTGCCAAATTTCAAACTCCTCGCTTCGCCTGCCAAATCACTCCGAGTTCGACCAGTCTGACTACGTCAATAAATTCTCACCATCTCAAATTGACGCATAGTCAGACTGGTTACGAGTCTACATGGTGACGACAAATCGTGATATCGAGAGGACTTGTCACTTGTGCATGATCAACTACCCGCACGTGACTAAGGCGCTCTGATTTCAATTTTAAATTTGAATCCACATAGTACTGAACTGGCACTTTCGCTACGTAGCGTACGTGGTATTTACAACGTGTGTGCACCTTCTTGCGCCATCATCGATATCCAATACCCTTTTATTTTCTATTAAGACTTTCAACGATATCATGTGTTCATAATTCCCACTCTATCCACAGGAATGACCACTACCTGGTGGTCGCGATTAAGCAAGCAGCAAAAAAAGCACCAGGATGACCATGCTTTCGAGTCACAGCCCGGCGAAAAGTATCAGGGGATTCACAAGCTATCCAACGACGATGCTGACCTGACTCCTGGAGAATTGACCTTTGAAGAAGGTGTGGCTTCTCGCTATTCCTTCAACCAAGTTGCTGTCTGACATCATCCAGATACTGCGGGAGGCATGGGTCGTCACCTTGGTGTAATGTCTTGCACTCTCCTTATCGTTGGAAATGTTATCGGCACCGGTATATTCTCGACTCCATCTTCCATCCTCTCCAGTGTGGGCTCAGTCGGCGCTTCTCTCATGCTTTGGGTCCTCGGTTTCTTACTTAGCTTCTGTGGACTCTTTATATGGCTTGAGTTCGGCACCATGTTTCCTCGAAGTGGCGGAGAGAAGGTATACCTCGAGGCGGTCTACAGAAAGCCCAAGTACCTCGCCACAATAGTATTTTCTGCCAACGCTATATTACTTGGATTCACTGCGAGCAATTGTATTGTCAGTCATGTCTTTTTTTGTGTGAGTATTTGGTATTAAAACTTAATTGCTCCGTCAAGGTTTTTGCCAGCAAGTATGTATTTGGGATCTTGATGAAACGACTCGACTGATATGATGTAGCATCTTAGTTGCTGCTGGTCGACCCGCAAGTCGCTGGAATGAGCGTGGAATTGCACTTGGAGGTGTGTCTTCTACCCAACTGACATGTCGCGGTCATTTCATGGCCTCTAGTCATATTCTTCGTAACTCTTCTACACGGATTGATCCCTAAGACCGGCGTATTGATCATGAACGTATGCAAGCTTTCATTTTTACACTGTCATCATATCTAACATCTTCTTTTCAGTTGCTCTCAATGTTCAAGATCGTAATTCTGGTGTTCGTTGTGATCACAGGCTGGGTAGTTCTCTCTGGAAAAACCCGCGTCGCGGATCCATACTATAATTTCAGAAACGCATTTGCGGGGAGCTCCACGAGTAGCAACGACGTGCGTTCAATGATATTCCTAGATGCCCATATGCTGATCATGGTCTTCACAGTATGCTACCGCCACATTTAAAGTCCTGTACGCATATTCGGGATGGTCTAACGTGAACTACGTGATGAACGACGTCCGCAATCCAGTGAGGACGCTCAAGATCGCAGGCCCGCTCGGTCTTGGTATATGCACCGTTTTGTACTTGCTTGCGAATGTGGCATATTTCTCGGCTGCAACCAAGGTGAGAACTGCTTTGTTATCTCCACGAACGAAATACTGAATAGTATCGATAGACGGAGATTGATGAGTCTGGCGTTACTGTCGCTGCCTTGTTTTTCGGGAATGTCTTTGGTTCTGTTGCGAAGCGTGCGCTATCGGTCTTCATTGCCCTCAGGTGAGCTCGACGTCCTGAGTTTAAGGGTTTCTTGACTCATTGTCTTCATGACAGTGCTATTGGAGTGAGTCCTATGTATTTCGTATCATGATCTCTGTTTGATGATGGGACATAGAACGTTATCACTGCGGTAAGTCGAAGGATGCTATGGAAATGTGTAGCTCAGGAACTTTTTATCTAGACTTTTTCTGCGTCACGAGTAAACCAAGGTTCGTCATACCAAGCATCGTAATTCTACTTAGCTTATACTTCAATTACAGAGCTCGCAAAGGAAGGGATACCTTTTCCATTCGGAAACAAATTCTGGGCTTCAAATTGGCCCACTGGGAAGTCCCCACTTCCGGGATTGATAATCCATTTAATACCCTCCGTAAGCGTTACCCTGGAACCATAATATCAATCTGAAATTGGTTTTCTAGGTTATCGTCATCATCGGCCCTCCCCCGAACATCGCTTATCCCTTCATTTTGGATATTCAAGAATACCCAAAGCAAATTATCAATTTCTTTATTGTCATTGTACGTCTTTGAACTCTTTTCTCGTGTTTCTTATCTCTTGATGCCGCCAGGCTTTGTTCTACCTGAGATGGAAGAAGCCAGATGCTGTTCGGCCATTCAAAGGTGAGAAAATATGTCGCTCTTCCTGTGTGGTACATCAATGCGTATGATGTAGTATGGTGGCCTCTCGCTGTATTTTTCTTAGCTGCTGCTTCCTTCCGTGAGTTACCAATCTACAACTCGAACACTTTCTTTCCCTGACAAAACCTCCACTCAGTCCTCATTGCTCCCTTCCTGAAACCATCCAATGGCGTTGGCGACACCCCACCACTGCCATATTACCTGTACGCTTCTCCCGGAAATCCTTATCCACACGTCCCTTATTCTCATCCCTCGCCTGTCGTATAGGTACTGTCTCGTAGGAATCGCTGTCATGTTCGTAGGCGTGCTGTACTGGGCTGCATGGCGAATCATGCTGCCTAAGGTATTTGGCTATGAGCTTGTACCGAGGAAGGAGAGGTTAGACGATGGGACTTTTGTCACTGTAGTGAGCATTGGCTTTTTATTCTCTGTCTCCTGGTTTAGCTCACGGATCTTATTTTCAAGTTTTCGAGTAAAAAGATGCAATGATTTGGAGGTTGATTGGAAGTGCTGGTAAGTTGGTCTTTGTATTAATTTAGTGCGATGTTGTTGTAGTGGTGATCATGTACTTGACATGCGTAGTTTATCATTCATGTATTCAGGTGTAGTACTACTAGAGTGTAGAACGGACCCTCGCCGGTCAGCTCTACTTTCTGGTATGTGCCGCCTGAAGTTCTTGCCAACACTGCGTTTTGAATATCTGACCAGTCAGTAATCCCGTTGGAATTCTGGTCTCTTATGACATTTTCTGCTTGAATTGATGGATGCAATAATGTTGTTAATGGTGAAACTGATACTATATTGGATGATATGTGCAAGTCTACGCGGTTGAGTACGTGTTCGAATCATGATATGCCAGCGCACCACACCACCTACATACGAAAGAAAGATGCATTGTACGTCCCTGCACCAAGTGGGACGCCAAGGACCGTTTTTCGGCCTAAGTTCGAACGAGGGAGCGTGTGAGGTGTCAGTCCTGTCCGACTGAAAGGGAAGTATTATTGAGGTGGTCACGGTGAAAAATGATATTGGGTGGCAGCTCTAAGGATGTGCTTGTCTAGGATTGTGTAGATGACATTGTTCAGAGGTCTTGAAATACTATGGCGCGAGTCTGTATAGTACTCATAAGTTACAAGTTGGACAAGCAAAGAAAAAAAGGTATAGTGAAGAAAGCGAGAATTGCCAGCGCGTTTCATTATGCGAGCTTGCTCTCCCTCAGTTTCGCTTGTTGCACCTGCGTCAGGTCATGGATGTGCCCTACGTGCTAGATGCCGCCTTGTCACTTTGACTTTTAAAAGCACTGGTCAGGGCTACTGATGACGTTCACGGGGTTTGGAGGAGTTGCTGTTGTTACTGCTTCGTTTGTCTCCATTTGCGGTCTTTCCGTGAAACAATAGTTAATTATATGTAATTTCAGATCTTACATGAATGGAAACCCTAATTAAAGTTCCAACAGGATGAATTCCAAACTTCGATCGTGTACGCCTCATACATGCTACACAGCTATATTTATATTAATAATATTGCCTGGCCAATGCACGCCAAGTAGTACTAGATGCTGACTTCAGGTTGGGTATTTGCAAGCTGGGTTCACACACTCCAATGATTATAAGGCTATACCAACGCTTCTCTGTGACTCAGTCACATTTATACCTTCCCCCATGGATCCTTCAGAGATAAGAGAGAAAATCGGTCACTTTCGAATCCTCGTTGTAGGAAGAGCGAATGCGGGAAAAACTACAATTCTACAGAGAGTTTGCAACACACGGGCCAATCCAGAGATATACAACAGCGCTGGAGAAAAGGTGCGTCTCATGATGGTAGTACTAGGAGGATGGTAGTGACCCATCAATATCAGATCGATCTTGCAGTTTTAACTGCATCCAGAGAGGTGGGGTGTTCTCTTAGTCGATGATATGAGCTGACTTTTTCTCAGCGCGGACTGCACGATATCAAAAATGAAATGGTGTTTGAAAGCAACCCAGGATTCATCTTTCATGATTCACGTGGTTTCGAGGCAGGTGGTGAATCCGAATTTAACCAGGTAAAGGCATTCATCGCGGACCGTTCTAAGGAAACCCATAGTGATGTGCTGGCCCGGCTTTGGCCTGGCTTGAGGCGGCTTTGGCTTTTGAAAATCTCAGGCCAGGCCGCGAGCCAAAGCCAGGCCAAAGCCATGGCTTGGCTTTGGCCCAGCCACAGCTCATAGTGGAGGAAAGTTAGAATATACATTTAGGCATCATGCTCGTCATCACCATCTTCTGTTACAGTGGCATGACAGACTCGTTTTGCTGTTTTCAAATGAGTAAAATGTATACATTGACGGAAGCAAAGGAACGCACATTTTGGATCTTGGCGTTCAGTGGCAAGTTTTGCAGCTTCAGCGGCACGGAAGTCATTGATTGCTTTCATTTGGGAAGGGAGGGCCGCCTTCTCTGAATGCTGGAGAAGTGCAGCTGTAGGTTTTGTTTTGCGCACCGGGCGTGCAACAACATGAAGTTCATCTTTGTTGTCTGTGTGAATTGTACTGACCATCAGAGGCTAGTAGGTAGGGACAGAATGTGGTGAAAAATGTCAATTGGGGGTGCGTGACACTGTAATGAGCAAGTACTTAGTAAACTAGGATAGAAACATAAAAAATTAGCGGATCATAGGAATAAAGATTTGCAATATAGACAAGCACAAGCCGATGTCAAAGTGTCGCTCACTCATCCTGCTTTTGGTTGTGCCCACACAGCTTCACTCTCCCCTTGTACCTATCTCAGATCCTTCGGCCTTCAACATGGTGGATCATTCGGACTCTAGCACAGGAAAACTTGCTCATATGCAACCACTTGATGGTTTGTGTGGCGAGGGAGTGGCAAGGGAGTTGCGAAGCACAGCTGACTCAGAGGCTTGAAAGGCAAACAAGTTGCTGGTAACAAATGTGCCTATGACATGAAAGTAAGTTATGATGATGCACTTATATTGACGTTGCAACTCACCAGCACCATTTTCTGACATGGCTTGATATGATGACGACGTAGTTGTCCGGAGAAACAAAAATAGATGTTAGCAAATCATCATTAACTGTGCTGACTAAGTACCAAAAGCCGTGGCCTGGGCCGCCGGCTTTGGCTTTTCAGTACCTCAGGCCAGGCCAAAGCCGTGGTCAGGCCATGATCTTTGGCCTGGCTTGGCCTGGCCTATTCTGGCCTGGCCTGGCCCACAGCCTGAAGCCAGGCCATGCACATCACTAGAAACCCAAATGAAAAATCAACTCCATGCGATCTGGTAATTGTACTAATTCGTCAATCGCGACATGCGCTAACTCACGGTTTCAACATAGGTACTGTATTCCAATGGATGAGGCAAGTAGGTCATTCACTGAAGGTGAAAGAAAATTTTTCTCTCAGTGCGACACAGGAAGCAGTAAGCTTTCACATCCCACCCTCGTCAATGTTTGACTGATGCGCAGAATCACAATTCTCAGTTCCAGTGATCGTGGTGTTCACAAAATTTGATGCCCTCTATGATGTCGCATACGCACAACTGAAAAAGGAAGGAAGATCTCGGAAAGACACTTGAGAACTGGCCTCAAAACATGCTGAAGAAACATTTCCAGATGGACCACAATGGAAGTTTTTCAAGGATGTCCGATGGCCACCAAAGTGTTATGTATGCCTTCCTAGTAAGTCAGTTTATGGTTGAGTTGTGATACATGATGACCGTTGATACATTAGACATGGACGAGGATGATGCGGATTGCGGACCACTTATCGAAAGCATGGCTGGAACACTGGATAATGAAGTACTGAGGCAATTATTCGTCTTAACCCAGCAGACCAACTTGGAGATCTGCATGAAATATGCAGTTGAGAGGTAAGTACCCACAGTCTCAATTACCTGCGGGGGTTAGCAACTGATGTTGTCCAGAACACTACTAAAATACATTAACTTTGTAGAGGCAACAACATCTGAGGGTCAGTGGATGATAATAGGGATATTTGGCACCTGGATTCCACATATTCGGGTAAAACTATTTCAAAGTTTGAAGGTTGCTCTCGTTCATGTTCGGTGTTTACTTGCAGGTAGTACGTCTGTTAATCCTCCCTCCAAGCTCGAGCTATGCTGATCGAAGTCGTCGCCCACCGTTTGCAGGCTGTGAGTGTGTCAATCCTCCTTCGAGCTCAAGCCATGCTGATCGAAGTCATCGCACACCATGTGCAGGATGTGAGTGTGTAGATCCCCCTTCGAGCTCGAGTGATGCTGATCAAAGTCGTCGCCCACCGTTTGCAGTCTGTGAGTGTGTCGATCCTCCTTCGAGCTCGAGCCATGCTAATCAAAGTCGTCGCCCACCGTCCGCAGGGTGTGAGTGTGTCGGTCCTCCTTCGAGCTCTAGCCATGCTGATCGAAGTCATCGCCCACTGTTTGCAGGCTGTGAGTGTGTCGGTCCTCCTTCAAGCTCGAGCCATGCTGATCAAAGTCGTCGCCCACCGTTCACAGTATGTGAGTGTGTCGGTCCTCCTTCAAGCTCGAGCCATGCTGATCGAAGTCATCGCCCACCGTTCGCAGGTTGTGAGTGTGTCGATCCTCCATCGAGTCTAAGCCTTCTTGAATCAAGTCATCGCCCGCTGATCTGTTGATAGGACGTTGTCTTCTTAGATAGATGATCTATAGATAAACACCTACAAAATCAAAAATCTCCACGGTCAGTGATTCAGACAAATACCAATGACTGATAACGTGGTTGTTCGTGGGTGGCTGTTTACACTTCCCCAAGCTATGTTCAGACAAAAGTACTTCCTGTGAGGTCAGTAGCAATACCAGTCAATCCAACAGTATGGACGCAATAGAAAATAAAATAAACAGAATGTAGTCAGCCCAACGGTATGGTGATGACAAAAAGAAATTGATTCACTCCAATGGTATGGCAGTGTTTAGAGAACAGAGAAAAGTCAGCCCAACAGTATGGTACTGATAAAAAAAAGAAATAGATTGATAAGAGAACCCCTTCCCTCAGTAACAATGCTTCTTGTAATAAATTTACTACAGAAAGTCGTGCAAAATTATAGCAATCACCCCCTCAGCACAAACAGGTAGAATCAAAGGTCAGGACTAATCAGTGATCAGTAGAACTCTTAGTTCACTATTGAACCTGCTGCCAAGGAACTCACGATGAGTATTAAACAGAATCAGGAACGGACGTCCTTGGATTTCAGTACCAAGTCCCCTATTCAACAACTAAAGTCTAGCAGACAAAGAAAACCCTGGCTCAGTATCACTACTCAGATGAGTGAGGTCAAGCGTCACTATCAACTTCTGAAGTCTTCCCACTAAGCCGGTGCTTAGATGGACGTAAAGACAACACAAAGATCTTGAAACAAATTCAGACAATAACACTGAGACGTGAACGAACTGAACAGAAAAAGAGACAAATGAAAAGAAACAAACAAACAAAGAAACAGAAAAAGAAAGAGAGAAAGAAGAAAGGAAAGAAAAGAAAAGAAAAGAAAAGAAAAGAAAGAGACTAGAGGTTCACCAGTAGAAAATCAAAGAAAAAGTTTGCTCACTGTTGAGCACAGTGAGCTCAAGATATTTCACAGTTGTTGACGATGAGCTAAAGGTATTGCTGGATGTTGCTTACAATGACCTCTCAGTTAGTTGCTTAACAGCTCTTGTCACTGTTGTTGATACTGATCACACTTCACACTCAAATTTATTTTGTGGGGCTTAAAAGTTCCCTATATTTTTCTCCTTTTTATTGGCAAAAAGTGGGGTCTTATATAGATAAATTATGGTGGCTGTGTTACTATTTCCCACGTTCTAAGGGGAATAGGCTTAGTCAGATTGTACCAATACTATTTACTGTAGTCATGTGCTTTATAATTTGTGTCATCAAGCTTTAGTCATCTCAAAAAGGTTGCTTTGTCATGATTTGGTTTAGGGTCATAGGTCACCTGACTGTTAGAGTCATATAACTTAGTATCATGTGACAAATATTAAGTAACAGACTGATTATGTTATTTGTTGGTGTCTTGTTATGATGTTACTTTATTGACTGTAGAAATGACGCGAGCCGTGTATTTAGAGTGTTAAGAAAGTTCCCACAAGGCAAATTATGCAAGAACTATTTTACACTGTTACTTGACATGTGTGGGATTCAGTCTGAGTCATTGTTATTGCTGACTAAGCAGAATTTACCGCAAAATTAAATATACAAGAATATTCAGCCTATCTGAGTCTGTCTGAGAAATGAAAATACTATCTGAACTGCAGTCTGAACCATAAAGTAAAGGAAGATTGTTCATAATGATTTCTAGGGTATCGGGCTCGTGAGAGAGCATTAGTCATCCATGCACCGAACTGGTTTGGTGCAGGTCAACGTGAGTTCATGTATTATTTGTTGCATTCAAGCATCCCTGACTAATTGTCTATTGGATTGGCAGGAGGTCAGTACATTCATCCTCTGCTGAACTTGAGCTGCTGACCAAAGATATTGTTGATCCGTTGACAGCTTGTGAGTGTGATCATCCTCTGTCGACCTCCTGCCTTCCTTATCCATACAATCACTGATTTATTGTTAGTATGTGGGTGTATTGATTTTACCTCTCTCTCACTGACTGAACACAACACCGCTCCTTTAACAGATTGTGAGTTGCTTGATCCACCATTGAACTCGAGCCGTTGTAAAGAGTAGATTCTATGTGGGCGCTACAAAAGTGTTACCTTAAGACTCAGAGTGCGAGTGAGATGTTCGTCCCAAAGAGACTGCCTATAGAAATGCTCCTTGATATAAAGCAAGGGATATCTTGTTAAGATCGAAGTGAGAGAAGGAAAGTTACCAAGAGTGCACTCAGTGTTCCGAGGATGTGTCCGAAGTACTGAAGTACTCGTCCAAAGTGGTCTGAAGGTGGTCCAACGTCAAGAAACGAAGGTCCGTAGTTGCACGAAGCGTCCGAAGAGCTTCTGATGAACAGCGATGGTTCCGAGGCAGAAGTACAGCGTGTATGTTGAAGTGTAAGACTTGCAAGGTAAAACCAAGCAAAGCCCGTCGGGAAAACTAAGAGATAGCGAGATGCGAAATGGCAGCAGTCAGGCCAAACAATTGTTCTGAATGAACAAGAAAGATCAATTGTGCGAAGTACGACTATCCGAAAGTGACTCTACTGACTATGACTCGTAGCAGGGAAAGTGAAGTGGAGTGTGAGTAGCTAGCAAGGCAGATTATATCCTACAGCGTGAAAGTCTGGAAACTGCATAGGCGAAACCAGTAGCGAGATAAGACATCCAAAATGTAATAAGACTCAAGGCGAGCCGCTACAGAGATATGCATGTAATAAGGCGCAAGGCGTGTTTGTTATGCATATAACCAACGGGCCGACAACATATGTGCCCCTAAACATAATCAATAACAGATAACCAAGTGGAAAACTCACCAGCAAAGTCAAACGGACATGGACGGGACATGGTACGGAGGATTGGAACTGTATACAGGCCTCGGAAATGGACGGACGACCTTTGGACGACTCGGACGAGCGCATGGAACTCTCGGAAGGTAAATGGAGTGTCGAGGAATATGTGTGTGGGATACCTATGGAATTGGCAGGATACGAGCCCAACGCCGATCCGAGTGCTACACCATACTAACCAAAGACATTGTCCATCACAGGACGTAAGCGCATCGATCCGCAGTCGAATTGGAGCATCACTGACCAATAAAATCGCTGATCCCTGTTGACAGTTTGTGAGTCTGTTCATCTGCCATTGAGCTCGAACCTTGTTGACTGATGACATCGCTGATCCATTGACAGTTCGTGGGTCTCTATCCTCATTGTCATTTGAGCTCTAGCTTTGCTCACCAATGACATTGCTCATCCATTTCCAGGGCGTCAGTGTGCTGATCCTCTATCAAATTCGATATTTACTTACCATTAAAATCGTGCATCCTTCAATAGAGAGTGAGTCCATAGCCTTGCTAGCGAACGAGATCACTGATCCATCAATAGGAAAATTTTTGCAACGATCACCATGTAGAGATACAATCTAGGTTGCTCTCTGTGGTATATCTCATTGGTTATAGATTGTACACACATTCTCATGTTGCGAATCTGCTAGGCCTCTGGCTTATCACCCTTGGAGAAAATTGTTCAGCTCAGTTGTGGTGAATTTTGAGGCTACGTTGCGATGAACCTGCTTATTATTGACCATTTAGCTGTTGTCATTATATTTGAACACTCTTTCTATATTTTCGACAAGTGGCGCTATCTTCATCACCAGCAAGGGTCTGTTCCCTCTTTTTATGTCGCTCTCAAGCAGTACCTGGCATCTGTGCATGCAGATGCTGTCAGGGAAGCTGCGAGTGCTGCCGCCCAGGCATATGAAGAAGCTGTGGCTACTGCCGCCCAGGCATATGAAGAAGCTATGGCCACTGCCACCCACGCATATGAAGAAGCTGTGAGGACTGCTGTTTACCCATATCAAAGAAATCTTCCTGCTTGGATGGCGAAGTTACCGTTTAAACCCTTGAAAAGAAAGGCAAAAGAAGCTTTTGAACGCTCTCAGGCAAAGGAGAGAGAAGCTTTCAAATACTCTCAGGTAAAGAAGAGAGAATCTTTGTGCTCTCAAGCGAAGGCAGAGTTAATCAAGATTATTCTTGAAATCACTTTAAATCATCGCCTGCATATGTTTCACCGTCATGTTGTGGCAGCACTGCCACTGATCCACCTGTCTTCAGCTAGACCTTAATGTCGGACAATGCAACACACCATCATGATCAATTAGTGCTGCCGTGGTCCGGTTCGGTCCAGTTCAGAGGGTCCTTGATGAGAACCAAGAACCGAACCATGGTTCGGTTCTTTAAAATTGTCGAACCCAGAACCAGACCATTGAGAACGGTTCTCAATGGTCCGGTCCGGTTCTTGTCTGGTCCGAACGCGAACCGAACCGAAAATTTTTCAAGCAACGGAAAAAACATTCACAAGACATCTACATGACATTGGGTAGCTAGTCTAACTGCATACCAACTGCATACCCTTCTGCCTCTACTGCTGCTGACACATGTCCATTCTTATAGGCTGCCTTCATCAATTGTAGCACGGAGAAAGTGGATGATGCGAGTGCATTGCGGCGCAGAGTTGATGTGATGCCCGCGCTGGAGAAAGCGCGTTCAGAGGGAACGGAACTGCCTTGAATGGGCAGGTAATCACGCGCAACACGAGCTAGTGTTGGGTACTGCAGCGAATGTAACTAATCAAGAATGTAAGCGGGGAACAATGAATTTGAGGGCTGACTTACACCCCACCATGCCACAACATCATCAGTCTCCTCCAATGGTGAAGTAAGGTATGCAGAGAGCTCTTGATGAGGATCGTGCATGTGATGGTCTGTAGCTCACCAGCAGACCTTGTTTGAAAGTTATTAAACAATATATCAAAAACAATATGGACCACTTACTTGCATAGTGTACACACCCACCCATCAGGTAAACGGGTAAATATAGTCCTAACGTCCGCTGTGCGTTTGCTTTTTGAAAGCTAAATACAGGTGTTAGTGGAGACTCAAGGAAGACAATAAACAAGTACATACAGTTGAAGTGGTGCACCTGTTCTCAGATTTAGATTCATCAACTTCATCGTCGTCCTCTGGTTGGGGGATCAGCTCGTCAGCAGACGACTCTCCCAGATCAGGTGTAGAGGGTATGTCTTCATCTTCGGAGTCAAGAGGGGATAAGATTGGCATGGCAGTTTTCTTGGGGGCTGGATGATCCGTAGCACTAGATAAAGCACGTTTCCTTCGGTTAGTTGATGAAGACAGACCGCAGGCATTGTCAGCATCGCGAATACGAGCCGATGGTTTTGAGGGCCGGCCAGAGCACCTAGATCCAGCTGCAACTGTTGCTGGGGTGCATCCAGCCTTGAGTAGAACGGAGAAGGCGTCCTTTGCGGATGTAGTGGAAGAGGATGGCTGGGCAGAAGATGCGACCTGGGGCAATGGTACTTTATCATCAGGATCATTAAAAAAGGTAATTTCAGAAGCATCCTTGAGGGTGCCGTCAGCGTTCAGAGCACAGCAGTCTTCAGACATCGTCAGGCAAATAACTCACAGTTTTTGGTCGGCACCCCATTTTATGCATGGCACATAGCCTAACACCACAGAGCGACAATATCCAAGGAGATCTGTTAGAGTTGAGAACCAGTGGAGGATCATGACTATCCAGGAAGCATATAGACTAGAACAAGTAGATATCTGTGATATAGGTAAACATATGTCAGAGTCTTGAGAATAAATTGATTAGTACTTACCTTCAAAAAGGCTAACAGTAGCCTGATTAACAAATAATGCAAATCTCGAAGACGGTGTTTTGATGTTGACATGGACACCGACGTCGTCGTGGTTGGTGTCGAAGTCGAGGGAATTCGAAGGTCAAGGAATGGTTCGGGAAGGTTCGGGAAAGTCGAACCAGAACCGGACCACTAGTGAAGGTCCAGAACCCAGAACCACTTTCCGGTCCGGTTCTGGCTGGTGAGGGAACCATGGACCGAACCACAGAGAACCGGACCAAAAGTCCGGTTCGAACCGTGGTTCTGGACCGGACCGCGGCAGCACTATGATCAATGATACTCCGGTTTGGAGAGGAGCGGAGGTGTCTGGGCTATGGAGGTTACTTGAAATGTTTGTTGAAGTAGATTCAGGATGTGGAACTGTATGAAATAGTTATATATGGTGTGTATGTGTTTAGAGAATGTTGGGCACCCTCAGTCGAGAGAGCTAACCGCCCTTGATGTGCCTCTCAAGCATCCATGGTACGAGTACGTTGTGTTCCACAGCTTGTCCAACTTGCGACATTTTTTTCCTCAAAAGATATCCCGTCTATTGTTTTAACCTTACACTCTGCATAGACACGTGGAATCGAATGTTTCTGATAAGATCGGTAACTCCAGCTGGTGATGAATGAGATCTTTGAAAAGACCTGGCTGTGAGTGGAAGATAGCCTTCGAACTCGATGGATTTGAGCACCTTGGAAATGTCATTATTTGAGGGACAACATGCAATGCGCAGATTTATGAAGCTTTATAAGGTGGATGGATCGTTCCCTCATCATCATTCAGCGTTGGCCACTCGGCCCTGAGTCATTGTGCATGCCAGTCAAAACCCAACCTCTTATGATAGGATATCGATCGCATGGATCAGAACCTGGGGTCTAGATGCATCTTCCCGAGGGACTGATGAACAACGCCATCGTGGAACAATGGAGAAACTGACTTACAAGATGTCAGCATTGGATAATTCTGCAGCGTTGGGTGTCACCTATGCCATGGCTCCAATCGGCTCTTATTGTATCATGTGTCTTATAAATACGCGAGCGCGTCGAAATCGGTACAAACTAGAGATCGTAGCATGGAGAATAACAGGCGCTGGAAATTGCTCTAGGGGCGGTGGGAGTCAGAGGTCCAATGCAAGATATCCAGGATCATGCAGCTCCGCTTCTTGGAGAGTTCCTTGATGGCCTTGTCGCTCAACTCATCGAAAAAGGTTTCAAGTTGGTCCATGCTCGCTGTGTTGCACGGGTTGGGTGAAGTATGGGAATACGTGTCCGAATCATAATATGCCAGCGCACCATGTACACCACCTACATACGAAGGAAAGATTCATATGACAAAACATATCTAACATAGGGTCACCGACCCCAAGGACTGCAAAAAAAAATTTACGCAGTCTTGAGATGTTGCACACCCCGAAGCTCTCTACTAAATGCATAGCACCAGCGCACAATGCAGAGGACTGTCAACAAGCACAACAACGCAACAAGAGCGATGCAACCTTGCAGTAGGTAATGCATGTCTAACGCTAGCGCATTCGTTGTCGCAGTCAGGTTTTCCACGAGCAGTGCCAAAGTTGCGCCAACATCCGAGGAGAGTGTGTCGGTTTTCTGCGTGAGGCGCTCGACAACGATGGTCAGGTCTTCTACGAAGAGCGTAAAAGACGCGAGGGTTGTGGTCATGTCTGAGGAGAGGGTGTCTGTCGTCTGCGCGAGGCGCTCGACAGTAGTGATTAGAGAGTTTACGAGGTGCTTCCCGCCCAAGCTGTCTATCACTTGTTGGGCGATTTCAGCATTGAAGACATCGATGATTGCCATTGATTGAGGACGTTTGTGAACTGGTGGAGGCTAGGATATCAGCATGAATTGTAAGTGAAAACTGTATCACTTGCTCAGTGTAGGGGCCAATTGTGGGTTGATGAATCCAAGTAATTCGAACGCGGCTGGTGGGAGTCAGGGACGTCATTTCTACAGGTCGAAGCCATGCACTTACACTCATGGCCTTTGCACCGCCTCAGCCTTGACTTGAGTGTGCACTTGAATCCATATGCTTTTTGCCTGACTGGGATCAACGGCACGCATGCCTACACGTGTACCAGTAGCATTATAACCCTACGGCACTTGATTTTTTGAGATGCGCTCACTAATACCCTCGGCGTAACAAGCCTGAGAAAGTTTAAATCTTGATAGTCACATCGTCACATGAGGAATAGCCTTGGACCCCATCCTGTACATGCAGAACGCTGGCTTCCATGTTCACGAGACACTGATATTAATACTAACACGCACATGACAGGGGAGATTGCGACTGATCAGGTGTTCAGCGTGTTGGACACATTATTATGATATATATACCGAGTCCTTCCCATCATGATAGCACACTAGTCCCACAATGCAGCCCACTAAACAAACACTCCCAATCGGCGGTCTCCTCGTCGACGTTTACTCCCACCCAACTTCAACCTCTAGCCCTACAAACCCCATCCACGCACTCTTCTTCCTGCATGGCCGCTTCGACAGCGCACAAGATCAATATATAGTCGATACCATTAAAGTCATTTTTGATGAGAGTTATGGATCGGGTGCGGGAGAGAGGAAGAAAGATCTTATCGTCATTGCTTTTGTGAGTCACTTTTTGCCTCGTCTTCTTAGGAAAGAAAAGGTTGATGGTGGGTCGGGGAAAAGGATCACAGGAACCACGGGACGAGACTCGTGAACCAGCAGCGGAATTTCGCGTGGAGCAAAGAACCGGCTGAGAATAATGATCAGCATGCGTACGTTCTGGCCATTCATAACATGGCGTAAAGTTGACAACGTCCCCTCATTTGAATACAGGGTGGACATGTATACCATCCACAGTATGTCCAGGCCACAACCGGTACTAAACGTGAGTCGTGAATCTGACCCCACTCGAAGCTGGTACAGCACAAGACGTGTCCTTCTTAATCGACCACCTTCCTTCCTCCCTCTATCCCTCGGGTGAGCGAACGATTGTGGAATGGGGTATGGGCGGTGTGAGTCTTGGAGGACATTCGACGTGGATTGCGCTTTCTAGAGGTACGTATCCAGCTCATCTAGCAAATTCATCCACACTCACAATCCCTTAGAACCCCGCCTCACCCTCGGAATCCCCATAATCGGCTGCCCCGACTACATGAAATTAATCTCTCGACGCGCCCAATCCTCAAACATCCCCCTCTCCCCACCTTACTTCCCCACTTCCTTTACGACTTACGTAGAAAGGCACGACCCTGCACAACTGGCGTACCGCGCAAAAGACGCTTCCAACCCGTTTTTCGGGAAGAAAGTGTTGGTGCTTTCGGGGAAGGAGGATAAACTTGTGCCGTGGGTGGCGTCGGCTGAGTTTGTTGAGGGTCTTGAAGTTGGAGAGGGGGGTGTTAAGAAGGTTGTGGTGGAGGAGGGGGCAGGGCATGAGTGTACGAGTGGGATGCGTAGGGAGGCTGGGTTATTTGTGAGGGAGTGGTTGAGGTTGTGAGCTGATGTTGTTTCATTTTTGGGACGAGTTTTATTGAAGGATGTATGATGATTCAGAATATGTTTGTAATTATAGTATGATCTTGAAGCAAGCTATAACCTTGAATGGTCACTCTTATCACTTCCCATGCATGATGCCATACTGCATGATGTCCATGTCGAAAGCGCGACTGCCGACGAGTTCAGAAGAGCCTCTAGAAACTTTGCCGACAACGATGAGGGTAGGAAGCGCTCTTCCACTATCTCTGGAGTTGTATTAGCGAAGGAACCACAGCGACATACATCGACACAATAGAGTTCTAGAGACGTGTCTTTATCTGCAGTGTTGGTAATTGCGCGAGCGTTGATGAAATAAATACCGTCTTCGGGTGGCAGAGAGAGGCACAAAGCCATCCATCTTCCAGAACCGTTTTCTCGCCTTCAAAGTATAAGGAGTAGAATTTGGATGAGCACGCAAAGGCCATGATGACGGTAGACGAAAAGCAGAAAACTTAGGAGAGAAAGAGGCGGCTGAGATCGAAAAGGAGACACAAAGATCGGGAGCACAGGGGTAATTAGAGTACAGGTGGCGCTCAGGTGGAAATTTCCGCGGGATCGAATGATATGTTAGATGTTTCAAGTATGTGTCCCCACTAATCATCCTAAGATCCACGCGTGTTCTGTATACAAATCCGCTGCCGCCTCTCTTAGTCTGGTGATCACAGCGTGCTCTGTAGTTGCGGTAGCTGCAAGTCCTAGAAGTCGGGCGTTAGACCAGCTGATCGAGACTCCATGTGTCATTAAATGATGATCATATCGATCTAATAACACATGGCGTCTCGAGCTGATGCTGCCACTCTCGAAGACAACCATAAACGCGAGAAAATAGAACCACTCACCTTTCCCCACAACCTGGGTCGCGACAGTCCTTTCTCCTCTTGTCCAGTATGTGTTTTGTTGTGAATGTATCAAGCTTTGTTCAACCGGGGTGGACTTACTCGCGCTGATGACCTCAGCTTTGAGCCTCTTGGCGCTGAGGAAGCAGACTGAATGTAACGATGCCACCCCGGACCCGGCGGGCACTGAGGAGCGAACGGAATGGAAGCTAGCAACGCCTGCAGAACAGGGCCAACGTTCCACGCCCGAGCCACCACTAGGTCCCGACCTGGATAAGAGCGACCACCGATACTCTGAAAAGGACGTTATGTCAGCAGCGGGCTAGAAGATCAAAGTCGAACGTACCCTCTCATCTCGCCCTCGAACTTACGAGCCGCGGGAGTTGACGAGGACCGGGGTGCCTAGACCATGGTGCGGGCCAGTACAACCGACCGAGGAGATGCTGAGGAGGCACAGGGCGGAGACAGGTCAGACATCCGAGAGCCTCGGCGGATGTGGCCACCAAACGCGCTCGAAGAGGGTCGGATGGACTCAGGTCCTGTCCACTGTGCCATCCACGCCGCGAGCGACGCCCAGGAAGGGCAGCAGCTATGTTATATCGTTCCATTATGATGTCTTTTCGCGTCCTTGAATATTGGAGGTTTGCCTTCAACACCTGAGCGGTTGATGTCGGTTAGTAAGGCAGATAAGAATGTGGCGAGAATAAGGCATACATTTTGTGTCCTGTGGAAGCTCGCCTTCAGACCTAAGCGCAATTGAGAGAAAGCCAGTGGTCGGAGCACTATGAGCAAGAAACGTACCATGTGGCGTCAAACTGGCAAGACCAATGCTGGTGGCGAAAATAACAAGGATACCATCAAGATTGCATTGGGATGCTTCCAAGTCGCACGCCACATATCTTGCTGGAACGTCCGGAATGAGGCAGGAAGACAAGGAGCTGTGAAGATGAGAGAGAAGAAGAAGAACCGGATGAGAGAGTGAAACGGGACTGAAGATGTTTATATAACACAGCACGGCGGCTGACATTATTTGGTTGTCGACATTCGACGCGTCTAGGACGCGCCGGTCACGTGATGTAAAGTAACAGCGTCAAACACGCATGAGCGTCTGGGATTCCAGAAATACATTCGGCCACCTGTGGTTCCTCGTGCTAGTGACATCATTATACAATGTAAGGGGGCAGTTCTGTGATGTCCCAGAACTTCTTTACACCTGCTGTTCATTGGTATTGTTTGAGTTAGTCGCTTCCGATCTAGTAGAGTACGATTCATCGAGGTACTCTTCCATAACCCTCCTTTTGCATGCTTCTTAGGTTTTGCGCCCGTGCATTGCTCACCGAAGAATTCGCCAAAATTTGATGCGATGATTCAGTGACAATGCACAAACGAGGTAAAGGGCTTAGGGTTCGTTGCGAAGAACTGGGAAATGAGGTAGTGAGTGCAGAAGTACTGCGTCGATACCCGCACCTGATGATCGCTGTGAGCCTTTCACAAACCTGAAAATGACATAATTGATGTCTTAACAAATAACTTATTGTGACAAATGGTTTTGGATGTTAAGGCTGAAGCTGAAGCAGACCAAGTCGTTGCTGTGGCTGTCGGTCACCTGCACAGCATGGCAGTTCAGGGCAGGTTACACCAGCACAGCGACGGCCGTAGTATGGAATGGTGTACAATCTAGCCATACAGATGTACAGGCTCAACATAATCGATCTCCACAGACTGAAGCCAAGCTGTGCTTCCACGACACTGTTCAAGGGGTTCGGGGCCGTCAAGAATCGACACTTGTCGGGAACGACATAGCCCCCACAGCATTGATGGGATCACCGGCCGCACAAAATCCAGACGCATATACAGGGGAGCTTCAGTTACTTGTTTGGTTCAACTGATGGCCCCAACACTAGTACTTGCACTCGCCCTCGCATCGCTTGTATCTTTCGTGGTAGTGCAATCCTTGCAAAAGAAGAGAGACACCAAGAAGCATCCTTTACCCCCTGGTCCTCCACCTCTCCCTTTTGTTGGAAATGTGATCAGAATCGACCCAGATCATCCATGGTTAGCATACTCGAGATGGGGAACTGAATATGGTGCGTAGAACCTCCGACACGTGGATCTGGATGTGCTGAATTGCGACACAGGGGAAATCGTTTACTCCAGACTCTTAAGTCAGGATATCGTGATCATCAACTCCGAAAGAGTTGCGCATGACCTGCTCGACCGTCGTTCACAGAACTATTCCACGAGACCCCCAGGGCTTGTGCACCTTCTTGGCTTGTGAGGTCCTTCTATCCTTTGATGTTCCTATTGTTAAACGAGTCCCAGTTTTGCTCATGACTACTCCTCTGTCTTTCTACCCTACTCAGACAAGTGGAGACTTCGTTAGTATATTGTCCCTTCGAGTTCTCTTATCGCACTTATCATGTCTTTACAGACAGGAGAATCTTCCATGAAGCATTCCATTTAGAAGCATTGTCATCCTTTCGTCTGATTCAAATGCGCAATGCTCACAGTTTGATACTAAACCTACTAGCCTCTCCGGAGGTGTATGGAACCCATTTACACACGTTAGCAATCTCTGTCTTCATGTATTGCGTGGCTGAACCATACTTTCTACGCAGCTTCAGCACGTCTATCATCATGTCAATCATGTATGATTATGCTATAGCGCCCGTTGATGATCCCTTTCTTGCGCTCATTGAACGCTCACTTGAGATAGATGTAAAAGTACTCAGGCCCGAGGTCGCAGCTGTTGTAGCAGAGTTTCCCATATGTGCGTATGACTTCGATCAGCCGTAGTTCTATTCTAATGCACTGACAGTGAAAAAAGTTCCTCCTTGGTTCCCTGGAGCGAGCTTCGTAAGGGATGCTATAGTCCAGAGAACCCTTGTTCCCATGATTATGGACATGCCATTTGAACATGTGAAGAACAACATGGCAAGTTTCCAGTGCCTTTTGTATCATTTAGATTAGGCTCATGATGATCGATTCTCAGGCTGCGGGGATGGCTGCACCATCCGTAGTGTCGGATGCATTGAAACGTATACCAGCCAAAACACAAGATGAAGGGGAGGCTGCTGTTCTTGAGCAAGGAATCAAGGAATCCAGTGCATCTGGTTATGCTGGTTCGTGACAATTCTGCAATGGTTATTATGTTTTTGACGTATCTCTACTCATTTTCTCCGCACTCCCAGCCGCCTCAGAAACTGTATACTTTGACGCGATTTCTATTCTAGCCATATACTGACCAAAGGCCCAGACGACGTCCACTTTATACGTCTTCCTGCTCGCGATGGTTCTATATCCCGAGGTGCAAACACGCGCGCAAGCAGAGATTGATTCCGTCATTGGGGAAACTCTCGAAAGATTGCCCGACTGGGATGATCGCGCTGAAGGTTCAACGATACAGCGAGGCACGAACAATGCTCCTGACTGTATCTATAATTGTTGTAAGGTCGTGCGTTGCCTAGTCTGCTATACTTGAGACGACAAGTGCGTTCGACCCTAAAGGGGAAGCGAGTGCAGCAAGGATCTAGAGGTATGCGCTGAAAGCGCTACTGGTTGGCCAATGCGAAGCGCGAGAAAGCGCAGGTGCGCGCAAGGCGCGGGAATGCGCGCGTGTATGGCGCGAAGCGTGGGAAAGCGTGCGCGTGTATACAGATACGAGAGAGAGTAAGAGTGAGTTTGCTTAAGTGATGATATGATGTAAGACAAGAGAAGGGAGATGCGAGGTGTAAACAAATAGATTTCTACTATGTTCTGCTAGGTGAATAGTGGGTAGTAACCAGTAAGTCCTCTGTCGTTCTGGTGGGAGAGTAAGTCAGTCCCGGTCGGTCAGTAAGTATGTACTGCTGGCGCTTAAGTATGGCGCCTAAGCGCTGTCATGCGGAGCCGAAGCGCTACCGAGTAAGGTATGTAAAGATATATGTAAGTAAGGGTCCATGATAAAAATAAAGATGGAACGATATGCAAATGTGAGAAATGGAAATATACGCACTAGGGAACTTGGTGGACAGTGGATGGATGCTTCCGGATGGCTGGCGCTATAGGGCGCTCAAGCGCGGGAAAGCGCGCGCGCATATACATCGTGAAGCGCGGGAAAGGTACGCGCGCATGGCGCGCGTTGCGCGGGAAAGCTGTGCCTCATATAGAGATAGCTGCAGGTAGCACACAGAGTGATGCTACAAGTTCGTGCCATGTACTCCCCAGTGAAAACTGCCATATTGCACAATGAGAGGCATGAGTCTCTACAGCGCTTCTATGCCCTACATCAATGCCATCATACTGGAGACGCTGAGGTGGTTCCCTGTCGTCCCTCTGGGTCAGTACTCTTGACTCATGGAACTCCGGTTAGCACGGTCACTGACTGTGGATTTAGGCATTGCACATGCCACAGTAAATGACGACATCTACGAAGGTTACTATATCCCAAAAGGTCAGTCTATGGACTGAAAACCCTATCCCTCTTCTAAAACTGTTTCTTAAGGGGCTACCGTAATAGCTAACGCATGGTGATTCATCATACCAAGTGAACAAAGATCATACATAACCATTTCTTCTTATACAAGGTTTATGGCGCGCGATCCAGATAAATTTCCTAACCCAATGAGGTTCATACCCGAGCGTTACATGTCAAAAGTCGCCGTCGAAGAGCCGTCAACACAAGGCCCTGATGACGTTTCCTTTGCTTTTGGATTTGGAAGGCGCATTTGGTACGAAGTTTAGAGTTTTGCGAATAGACGGGTTTGGCTCACCTTTCAGCAGTGTTGGACGACACGTTGCCGATGCTTCTTTATTCGCCGCAGTTGTGAACATTCTAACTGTTTTCCGGTTGGAACGTGCGCCAGGATGGAATGTCGGGCCTGATGCTGAAGGAGTGAAATGGACGGGAGGCTTAACGACGTGAGTCATCCTTGAGGATCCCTATATTTTATCTGAGGCAGCCGATGCAGGCACCCTGTATTCCCGTGCATATTCACCCCTCGCCACACGAAGGAAAGGGTATCGCAGTTGCTAAAAATGCAATGTTGAGAGCTGTGCGGGGGGTGAAATCATGTATTACCTTGTTTTTTAGTGTCGCTGGCTTATGTTATCTGTCAGTATACTCAAGTTTGACGCCATCATGCATCAGGCATCAAGCTTTATTAACTGTGCCCACCCTCGCCCGCCGTCATTTCCCCGACGAGTGGGTACTTTGTTAATTGTACCAGCAGCTTTGAATTATCTCTCGCGGGACTGATAGTTGGGCTTTCGTGTAGATAGTAATACATCCTCTCGTGAATTACGCGATCACATGACCTGCACATGCAAGTCTAATTAAGCGGAGTTCGAATACCCGTACTATCACTGAGTACTGGACACTTACAGTTCTCTACGTGAATCAATCATCTGCCCTATCTGATACCTCGCATGCAGCAAAAAAAATGAAGATACAAGGCCATTTCAGACGTTTATGCTGATAGTATCATATCCCAGGGAGTTATTGACACGGTACGTGTCTCAGTTAAAGACAACATCTAAACTATTGTTTCCGTGGAATAGTATGTACATGCATCAGCGCGGTGTATGTGCTACGAAGGAAACTGTGGAGACTCGAGAGAGACCTTTCTGGATCAAATTTAATATGTAGAAGAAGCTGGGCAGGCAAGGTAAGATAAACGTTCTACTTTGCAGAGTCAGGGAATACTAATCAATACCTTATCATGTCCGATATTCACTCAGGCTGGAAATGCCTTGGTGGCGCAATATTCCGGAAACAATCCTTCATTGCGAAAGTGCATTTATGTCGAAAAACAAGAGGGTCCTAGAGATGGAGGACGCTCAACGGGCCCGAGTCAGCATCACATACTTTATTGTATCCAGAAAGCTGCTTCTTTCAATCACAAAGCTGAGCGGAACGAGTTCATCAGCGCATAGTGGCAAACCATTGTCTGTATGTCGTTCTTCCTTGTTGTTTATTGTGCATTACTATAATAACAACTACGACAATAGGCCATCCTACCCTCTGGAAAAACGGTGTCCATGACAGCAACGCTAACTTTAGCAATCTAATAGTATACTGGACCTTGTGCGGTCGAGTGACTGACGTCTTCAGCAACCTCGACTTACCATCGACTCGAGATATTCCTCAATACCAGGAGTGTGCAAGGACAATACCTTTCATGGCGCTTGACCTTCTCAGTGGTATTACGGAGACGGTCATAGAAGGCAAGGTCAAGTACCTGTGTTAGCACGACGTCGAGTCATTCATATTTGTCCTCACCTGGGTCTCCTCGTTACAAAGATGGCAAGCTCCTGAGAAAGGGAAGGTCGTTCGATAGATGGCCAAAAGTGAATGCCGTTTCAATGCCACGACAAGAGAACTGGCTTCTCAACACCACATCATCATAACATGAGACCCTCGCAATCTCAAGAAATCGGGAACTTGCGCTCTCGTGTCTTCGTTCTCTCGCCTTATTTAATGCGGATGACCCTGAACGCACGGTGGATGACCAGGTTGTAACTCGGACGTGACTCAGGGAACACATACTCAAGGTAACTTTACAGCGTGTGCTAGTCACAGAGTTTGCATGCAGTCTACCCAAATTTCTTATTTTCTGGATGATATAATCCAACCTGAAGCTGAGGTTTCTTAGGACGATTTTACGAAATTCTTCTGCCGATGATCACATTATTTGATAGGGTTGCTCTCACCTGGGAGCTTACGGTTTATGCTTATCCGCGCTTATGCTTATGCCCCAATACTATTCCAGTGTCGGTGGATTATTGATTCTCGTGTCATAAGAAAGAAGGGATCGCTTCCCCCTCCTATTTCCGATGCCCACTGGTCTCTGGATATGATATGGACCTTGCTGTCAGACGTCGAGAAATACGAGAATAGGCTTGTTTTATTCAGGAAGTGGGACAAAGAGGTGAGTGACCATAATACCTCAGGTGATAAATGAGTTCTTCGAGTGTTATCTTCCTGCTGACAGTCCAAATTCAACGAATACATGATCAAGATCTGCTATAGTCATCGAACACCAATCATTTCCTGCCCAACCAGTAAGGGCCAAGGAGCAAGAGTCGATCGGGTACAAGGTGTTATACACTTGCCTGGTGGACGGCGCACAATATGACTAAAGAGCGGTAATACAACCCTGGATTTCTCTCCGTGGGTGATGATCTATCCACCCAATAACGCAATTTGTGATGGACAGATATTATGACGATGTAGCAAAATCTGGAACACGAAGATGGGCGAGTCCGCGGTGCATGCTGCTTGCTCAATCTTACACCTTTTTCATATCTTGTGTATGTATGTATGTATGTCTTCTCCTTCCATGATCGTATTCTTCTGTGATCATAGGATATCTCCAGAACATCCGACGCCTATGCAAAAGTTTGATGTGATTTGAGCAAGAAGTCATATGCATATAAGCGATGGAAGGCGCATTACCGAGTTGCAAAATTGCCACCGATTACCCCACTTCCCCGCGGTTATAAGGATGGTCGTTATATACAGTTTACTAACCCACTGCTCGAATCATGGCCCTTGCAGTTGATCGTCATCTTGCCATCCTCGCTGGCATTTCTCTTTCCTTTGTCGCCGTCAAGGCACTCAAGTTGTTCATCAAAAAGCGACAGAATAATGCTCCTCTTCCTCCTGGCCCAGTGCCCCTCCCACTGTTGGGGAGTGTCTTATCTATCGACGCTTGTCAGCCTTGGCTGACTTACACCAAGTGGAGTGCTATGTATGGTACGTGAACAGATAGCATAGGGCATGCGTGGTGTGAATCATTATGTCAGGGGACTTGGTCTTCGTGCGAAGTCTAGACGAGGAAATGGTCGTGATCAATTCTCAGCACATCACAGAAGCCTTACTGGACAAGCGTTCTCGGATTTACTCCGATCGACCATATCTAGCAACACTCGTACCGTGCGTTCGTTCAGTATTCCGTTATTCAACCAGTCTAAGGTTTTCGCAGATATGGCTTGTCGATCAACTTTGGATTCATGGCTTATGGCGATGAATGGCGTCTCTGCAGGCGACTTTTCCACCAAACTTTTCGCCCCGAGTAGCAATAACAATTTCGCACCCGAAGCCATGAATGTGGCGAAATGAAAAAGACTGGCCAGTGTCTGCAGATGCAATGTCAAAAATTCGCTGAAAGAGAATTAAGTGTGCCTTCACGCTTTGTGATGTGGTGAAGGCACGAGCGCTAACAACAGCTGAAGAACCATTAATACCTAAGGGTACAAGTAGTGATCTATTTCACTCACAGCGACAATGTTCACTATCCCATGATTCAATCTCAAACTCCTGCCATCCTTGTGCTCGTTTGAATGAGGTGTCAATAGACAAACATTTGGCTTGTATGAGATGTGATGACATTCGTGATGTCATACACACGACCAGTTTGAACTCCACACCACATTCAATGACGTGTGTTTCTGCACAGCGGACATAGCGCTGCTCCAGAGGCAGGGATGCATGTTCGTTTGCAAGACGACGTGCACCTAAACAGAAAAAAAATGATAATCAGGGATTGTACTAGGTGGTTCAAATATTGTATGAACATACCTTCAAATCCTGTTCCACTTGGGTACTTCATAGACCTCGTTATGTTAATAAGGCAACGCACATGGTCAAGATTAGCGAGTGATGGATGGAGGTCTTGAAGCATTGCATCGTGGCCATCAGGAAATTGCCAGTTGAGCACTCGATGAAGACCCTCAACAAAGGCCGTATCCAGGTATATTCGTCGTGGTGTTGCATCTGCAAGTTTCCACTTCATGAGGGAAACTAATCCATGAAATACATCAATGAGGGGAGGCAGAGTTTTGACAGGTAGAGGAGGGGGATGTGAATGAGGGTTGGTGCAAAGGACAAGTATTTGAGGGCAGGCAAATAGATCTTCGGGAACATATATGTCAAATGATGCTGCACAGTTGTGTGCCCATTTTCGTAGAACACCTTGCTTCAATGTACCATCAGCCCGGCGATGCCAATGTGCTGAAGCACAAGGATATGATTGAAAATAACAAGCTACAAAACAGGAAAAAAACATACAGCACACTTGTTTTTGTGATGATGGACCAGTAACAAAACTACACGGCATCAGGGGACCATATCCCTGTGACTTTGCAAGTTGCTCGCACTTCGTAATCATGTGGTGGTCGTCATTCAGTAGTGCCTGCAAGTAGCAGGTATCACTCTCCTGCAAATTTTGTATGAATAAATGCGAGCGTGCAGTGTGAGAATGCAGGCTGCATCTGTGATGCGGAATGTGAGATAAATGTGAACAATAGTAGATAAATAAAAACTTACCGAATAAATGGTTGATTATATGCATCAAAATGCATGACAAGTCTTCCATTACATTTTTTTTTGACTGGTCGACGACTTGATGGTATGCAGCCAATATGGAGATCGGTATCAGAACTGGTAGAGATGCTGTCGAGATACTGGTCAGCTGTCAGACCCTCAAAATCATCATCAATATCTATGCTACTATCTCCTACTATGTCTGTGTTGTTCTGTCAATCAGTAGGAGAATGAGGCGAGCAGCCACGAAGACTAAGAGCAACAAAAAAACGCAAGAGTTTTCTCGAAAAGTTCTTGGTCAGCAGTGCCAGCAGGACCTCGTCGTCGCAAGGTAGATGGATGGTGAGCTAAAACTTCAGAAACATTGGTGAAATGGTGTGCAGAGATATCATGCTGACATCCTGAACAAATTTTGAGGCCCTTGCCTGCAAGAACATTTGAGAATCACCCAAAGACGATGTATAAATTACTTACATGATGTTCTGAGCTTCGCGCACGAAACTGGTTGCCCTCCAGCATCATGGAGCATTAGACATTTCCCAATGATTTGACCACCGTGCCCGTCACCCAAGGAATACTGGAAGCTCGACTTAGGATGCAAGGTAGAAGTAAACATGGAAGGGTTTATATGAAAGATATGGGCAACGGATTCGTCGGCATGGCATCCGGTCTGTGGGTACTCAACTGTGGCACCAATTGGGTGCTTGATGATGGCATGTGCAGAAGTCTTGCGCGTGACACGATGCCGTCCTTGCAGACGATCTTCCACTGTAAAAGGTTGTGCAGGAGGTGGGGTATAACGGGTGCCAGCAACAGCTAGACAGGTATTACGAGTAGATAGAGAAGCAGGGCAGAATTTAGGCAGAGTACTAGGAGGAGGTGATGAAGGTGATGGTGGTGGTGACGGTGATGATGACGACAATGAGAATGAATCCAGGTCTTGTGGAGACAGACCAGCATTTTCAAGGAGGATCTGTGCACTCTGAACCGCAGAGCGCTGAAAGTCAGTAAGAAAAGACATAGCTACAATATTTAGCTGTTCTACAGACCTCTTCATATACTGTCGATATCGGCTAGGTTGGACATTAATCAATGCTGAGATCTATGACGCTTGAGCGCAACACCTAAGTTGTATTGCCTGGTTTGGGAAAACATCAGCGCTTTCGGTTAGCTTAAACCAAGCAGGACCTACCGTCACTGAGTCTAAGCTTGCCTTTTGTTCTAAAATATCCACCAGGTGAGCAACCGTCACTAATCCCAAGCTTTTTTTTGCTTCTAAGTAGCCTACATTTTGATTGTCACAGATTTCACAGTGTTGACCATGTGCAACTGTCATTTACCCTCTGCTTCTGAATGCTCAAGCACACCGATTGTCCCTCAATCCACATGCCTTATCCTCGCTAAGAGTTTCTATTTCACCAAATCACAGCCTAAGTCCTTGCCAAGATGCAAACTAACATTAGCGGTGTCTCAGAAGGATCGGTTATCCATGTCGAATTGAGAATGATCCAGGAGTGGGAAATATCTAAGTTTTTTTTCGAGTGATGCTGCCGGTGAACCAGGTATATAAAAGCTAGTATGTGCAATAATTCACTCACTCACTAGTAGTATCCTTTCATCTTCCCCCATAGTGTTCTACCGCTTTACTACAACCAACACCATGCCCACATATCCCGAAATTTTTCATGTCGTTCGTGCGCTCCAACGTGCCAGCACAGAACTCACCATTTTCTCCCACGAGCTGGGTGAGACAGTTGTGATAGCATAGTATGTGTAGCGCCACACACACCATGTTTTGCCCCTTTGTTGCTGACTTGTATTAGCCCAGTCAACCGGGCTACTGGGGAGCGCATCATCTCTCATAACCTCAAGGATTGGACCCGACGTCGCAATATAGCATGGGAATGCTTTTGTTGACTTTTGACGGAGCACTGCACCCCAGTCTGCTTCGAAACCAACTGTCGCAGTCATGCAATGGCTTATTGCCACCAGTCTCCTAGCATGTGTGGTTTCTCGTGTATGTACCCTCTACTTGTGTATTGGACATATCTTGATGCTTTCCTCAGTGAATCTTAGCGAGGCACGAGAGACTAACATTGTTAATACATATTACAGGTACTAATTCTATCATTCTAGATATGCGTCAACAATGAATCACCCACTATCTCCGCAGACAGGCCGGCCCTCTCGTCAATGATTGCATATCTACTAATGTCATCTATGATGCCCAACAATCCCACTTGTCATAGGAGCTCGTCAGCAAGACCACGACATTCTTCAGGCCACTGTGAACAAGTACAATTATATGAAAAATTTGACTTGGGGAATTACAGACAGACTCACATAGAGTGGCGAAAGATGATAAGCATGAGTGACATAGCCAAGGAAAGAGAATTGACCTGAAAAGTCTTGAAAGGGCTGAAAACATGGGTCAATTTGAGTGACGACTGATGGCTGATAGTGAACCTCATCAATCTGCAGTAAGAAATCATGAGTGATGCGAATAAAGTCAGACACTGATGCACTCACCCAAAGCGGAACAAGTCGCATAACTCCGCTCCTTGCTTGAACAAAAACATAGTTTTGAGTGTTGTTAACATGGACAGTTGGTAGCGCAGTTGACAGTTGCATCATCCTGGTAAATTTGGAGTGATGAAGAATCAGACGACACTAAAAAGACCTTAAAAATTGTTCAAACATGCGCTTGTCTGCCCACATTACATTCGACCGCTAGGCAATGATGCCATAACATATCAGCCATCGACATGCATGCCAGGGGTTTAGTCATGGGTAGGCCAAATCCAGCAATGGCCAGTCATGGCAAACCATGTATTGGAAATATGCTGGGAAGAAGCCAGGGGGCTTGCCAGGTGGCACAGCAGTGCCAGGCAGAAGTGAACATGAGCAGCCCAGCCAGGAATCGGCACATGTGACAAAAAAGCAGGGGCGAATAAGGGCGATGCAGTAGCGAACAATTGATTATATTCATTAATTTTCATAATCGAATGTGTGACTGGCCAGAAACATCTCATCTAGTGCCTGCATGAGTGATTCAGTGCTGGCATTGACTGCCTGATCGAAAAAGCCATGCTCCTCCGCACCCATGTGATCTTCATCGTCGTCTTCGTCTTCGTCCTGTTCATCGTCACCGGGAATTTGGCAGTGTGTGCGCTCCATGAGGCCTCCACTTTCTGAAGGTTCATGTTCTGTCCATACTGTTGTCTCCACGACTCCTGCTTCATGAGAATAAATGTGACCTACTGTTACGCACTCAAATAGATCTGTTATGCGGAGCCCTAAGAGGGGCGTCGTCCGCTAACGTTCGTGACGTAACCGGAAGAATCCGGTATAGCAAGTGAGACTGGTGACAACGAGTCGGCAGTGATCACAGTACGCGCGTGTCACGTGACTTCTAAGACAGATGTCTATGAAGTCGCTCAAGGTAAGGACAGTCTTGTCCAAATGATGAGGTCGATCAAGGTAGACTTAGTCGCGATGAGCAACTAAGAAAAGATACTAGAGACTGAAGCCAAAGGGGTGTTCAGAGGGAAGTATGTTCCAGGGAAGATTGAGTAGATTCAAGTTAGAGAATCTAATACAGGGTGACCGACTACTTATACTAAGTGGAGAGGGTTAAGGGCAAGGTTACCGCACAGTAGGTAAGGGTAAAGGGGAAACGAGAATGGTATAGGTGCGTTGGCAACAGAGCCGGATTAGTGATGGATGGTCAAATGTGGAATGAGACCGAGAAATGTTGGAACGGACCAACGGTAAGAATACAACGTGCGGGAATCTGCAGTCAGAAGGAACAGAAAGGGAAAGCCACATTGGTGGCACGAGTCAGACCGAGTCATAGGTGCGGGACCACATTGGTGGTCAAATCATTGGAGGAACGTGCGTGCACGTGCATAGAGGCGGACGATGCGAGGGATGGGAACAGTCCCGAGGATCCAGTCAACGGAAAGTCGGTAAAGGAGGACGAGCCGGTAGATGGTGAGGGCGAGGATGAAGGGAAAATGATAGGGGGGCCACATGACCGATGTTACTTGTAACACCTACCCCAAGGCCATAATGAAAGCGCATGAGTGTATCGCAATCAACGAAGCTAGTGTAGTCCTATTATTAATGCTCATCCGCATCAAGTTATTTCAGGTCACTCACCTATTAACATAGTATTCATGCCAATCGTGCTTGTCACCCACAAGAGGAGAAATCCCGGATTCACCTGGATTGCGCTGGTCTTGAGAAAAGCCGGGATGATATGACACGCCCTAGGAACCATCCCGGGGTCAACAAAACCGAACGCATTCTGGTGTGCCAGCGGCCGGAAGCGAACTCGGCCCAAAGTATGTGAGTCCCACGCATGAATTTGCACTGATTCATACCATCGAACAAGAAGAAATTCGAATCGGTGACTTTCGTACACATTGGCGACGCGCACGATGTTGACATGGTGTATCCCAATGACTTTGGCATAGAGGTAGTGCCCATCATCACTGCGATTTGTGAGTAGCATAATGTTGCAATGCTGAGTCCTTGGGTTTACGACGTCTTGAGCCCTTCGAACGTCATAGGTGGTATAGCTGAATCGCGCGAGGTTGTGGTGATATATCTGATTCCACTTGAAGAGAATGGAATTGTGCTGGTCGGTAAGAGCTGATCTCTCTAGAGGTGATTGGGTAGTTTCTGGCTTGAGGCGATCGAGAATATGGGTTTTCAATCCAGGCAGGAAATCCTAAGCGATGCTTCAAGATAAAGATCAACATGTTACAGAAACTGCTTACCCTCATAGCATGATCTCCTTTGTGGTTGTGAAGGTACTGACCAAAATCATCATACATTTTCTCGCTTTGGCCTATATGATGTTGGAGTTGGGGATCATTGGCCATTTCAGGTACCCCTGCATGAGAGGCTGGCTGTTGTCGTCGTTTGATGCGGCGCAAGCACGTCTCGCGGCGTTCAATTTGAGTTAGTTGACGAACAAAGGTACTTCGATCGGTGTGATGGTACCTGCCTTTCAGGGTACGATGCTCTAACTCCCCCTGAGAAAGGTGAGTTAACATATAGATAGGCAGCAGAATACAACTCACTGGTTCAGTACTGTATGAATTGGTTGTACCAAAATGACGGATGGAAAACACATAATCTCCAAGTACATGAAATTTGTAAGTCTGAATATTAAAGGACTTCTTTCGCTTTGGTTGCTTGGGTGTGGGTAAATACTGAAGCTGCTCTATCGCTTTGCCTTTGCCTTTTCCATTATCTTTGTTAGCTCGTGCAAGGTCATTTCCATTGCGTTTAGCAGCATCCTTGGCCTGGCGGCAAGATTGTGCACCAACTTTGTGATCGAGCTCCTGGGTCTGGTATGAAGCACATACCTTTTCCTTGAAGTGACAAAACTGTTCACCAAGATGAGTCGTTTGTTGGTCGAGAATCTTTAGAGTGATGTCAGAATGCATACGGAGCTTCGCAAGCCCGTGCCAGTGTGACATGGTGAAAAGGAGATTCATAAGAACTTTGTTGTGAGGGACGGGTAAAAGACTGTCGAAGACAGGGATAGAACACTGACAAAATTAGTTCGCAGCTATGTATGAGAATCTTTCGAGTACATACTTGTAGAAGATCTTCGAAATTTCGCGCAGCCATGTTCGACATCTCAGAAACATTCGAAGAGAACCGTCTAATTGTGGCCGGTCCAAACAAAGGGACCTTCCTATACCTGTCAAAGGTAAGTTTAGCCTGCAAAGCCGTTGTAAATGAATATCTGGCAGACCTCTCGTCGAGTTTATTGATCAGGTCCTTATCCAAGGCAGTAAGAATTCTTAGTAGATGGACTAGAAGCATGCACCATACTCCGAGTTCAACCTCGTGCAAAAGATCAACAACAAGTGCAACAAAGATGTTGAATCCGAAAGGAGCGAGAGTATCTAGAAATGCATTCTAATCAAGGGTTAGTAAAGGTGAGAAAGAGACTGGTGGGCATCCTCACGGAGGTTGGCACCCACGAATCAGGTTTGAGGA